CCGTACTTAAATTTATATATCGTTTTGCATTTCTCAAATGCTTTGCATCCTTTTTTATTGCTTGCTCGATGAGGAAAATCTTTATAAGTGATTTTTGCAAGTCATAGCGGTTAAAAAAAAAAAAAGAAACCCAGAAGTAGGGGCCCTGAGCAGTGATGGCTCTGGCATTTTATGGCCTCAGAGGCAGGGAAGGATAATGATTTTTAAAGTTCCCTGCTTTTTGTCAATGTCCTAGATTGATAAACCCATCAATTTCAAGTCCGGAATTAGTATAGAATTACCAGTGCCATTGAGAACTATTCTTTAAAATCCAGATCTCTCTGTTAAAAAATAAAATGAAAAATATTACAAAGACAGATCTGAGGGCCAGAGAAACTCATGTTTGTGATTTGTGTAAGTCTCATTACCACCCTGAAATGTCGACGACCCCATGCAACCTAATGAGCCATCAGCCTTAAGCCACCTAACATTACATAATGTAAAAAAAATCCACTGGGGTGGGGGAGCAGGAGATAGTGTCAACTTGTTACAACATTTCTATGTGGTGGCCAACACAGTGACTGCTTTCAAATCCATTTCCTCTGGCTGTACTGATTACACTGCTGAATTTATATAAACACAGCATAGATGCTAGTCTGCTTTATACCACAGTGACCTCTAACAAGCAACACCAATTCTCCAGAAACTCCGGCCTCAGAGTTCCCAGAACTGAACACTTGAGAATGGTATATTTAAGCAAAATTGAGGTGCTGCAAGGTTGAACTGAGATGTGGGAGTTAGTCTTCTCAACTACCTCCAGCTACAGAAATAGATAGACTGTGGAAGTTTATTTAGATCATGAGCAGAAAGAAAAACAAGAAATGGAATAATGATAAAGGAATTTTACCAGCAGGTATGAAAAAGTTGCAGGAAGAAATTCTTCTGTAAAACATTGAGGCTAAAATCTACTGGGCTTACAACTAAAGTCTGAGCTAGATGTTAGAAAAGTCTGAACTTGCTCCTAGTTCGGCACTGATATTTTTGAGTAATCTTAGACACAAAATATGAACATGGGCACCTCTTTCCACATCTGTAATTTGGGGCATTTATCTCTCTACCATAATAACAACATGTCTTACTTATATTTGTAACACCTAGAGCACAGCGGTATCTAATTCATAGACGATACTAAAGTTAGGTCTAACAAATATATTGGGATTTGGTCTTGGACTCAGACAGACTGTGCTTGAATCTTAACTACACTACCTACACATGTAAACCTGGTCAAGTTCTGTAACCTCTCCGTGCCTCAATTTCCTCAAATGTGAAATGTAATAACAGTACTTACCTCATAAGGTTGTTATCAAGATTAAATGAGTTAATATAGGGCAGAGCCTGCACATAGAAAGCATTAGTACATGTCAGCAATTATTACTGTCAAAAATAGCTTCATTAACTCTATGATTCCCTATTTTATTCTCTTCCATTATATTCTATTAAAGATATTTATGAATACTGAAATGCCCAGTGAAGGGCAAGGGAAAGTGAAGGCAATGATTAATAATCAAAGAGCAAGAATAAACATCTTACACATCCCAGATCCCTCAGGTTGCTCTCACGTCCTTGAGTACAAACAAATCAAAGCATTTTAAGGATGCTCTTTCATAAAACACAATGCATTACTCATTAACTCAGAAATTTGAAAATGAAAGGCATCTTCTCACAACTGCAAAAGAGAACTAGAAGGCACATTTGCTATCTGATTCCCTTGTTGGAATTCAGTATCACAGTTTGCATTCTTGTTGACTAGAATACCCTGGGCATGAGATGTTTATTATAAGCTTTGCCTTTGAGGCCATTAATTTGCTGGCACTTCCTCCCCATGTATACTCATTATAGTCCCGCTGGGGAAGCACTATTTGTGCTTCTACATCTTACACATGACTTAGAGGTTTACCTGTCTTAGTTTTACATTTCACTGAGGAAAGGACACTGTTTCCAAAGGAATGAGGCAATAAAGTTCCTCCTTTTGTCTTTAAAACACATAGGTATTCTACTTAGAATTAGCCCTCCTTGAATACACAAGGTTGAAACACTTTACAATATCAAGATTATGAGCCCAGTTCTGCTCTAGTCATGCAGGCCAAACTATAGCTCTTGGCCCTATCCTGTGAAGACTCAACTCTGAGCTGATTTAGACACAACCGAAGAAATCTATAAGGAAACAGCTGCCACCCTTAGATAGGGTCAAGAGTTGGTCTTATTTCACCAAGCCCAGGGTCTGCTCTGCCTTAGTTATTCATAGGAATCTGCTTGTCAATTGTGCTGCAGTCTTGCACTCACCTCTACCATCAGTTTCCAGATCACAGGCCTGGACTTCTGTTTCCTGATTTTCACTCCAGTTCCTAATGGCACTGGAAATTGAAGCTGGAGCCTAACTGCAGTATACAGGACTCTGACAAACAACTTAAGCCTCACTGGCATTTACTTTGGGGATTAGACTTGTTTTCTCTACTATATTTGTTGGTTTTTATTTTGTTCTAAACCAAATGGACTACCTACAATCATGATGTTGATTCCGCTTGACTAGGTGTATCTCCACTATCTAGAAGTTCTCTTTATTCTGCACCATCCATCAGATCAAACTCCCTTGTGTGTATAAATGACAGCTCAGATGAAGAAATAATTAATGTTGCTTGTGGATAAACTAAACTTATCTAGGATTTTTAATGCTCTCAGAGATTAGTTCTACATTTGGGTCTGTTAGTTCTAGCCCAACCTGTGTGTACTTACTCTGCTCCTTACTGAGCAGCTGTAGGTGTGTTTCCACACCCCACAGCAGAGATGTTTTTAAGCATGCTTCATTAAAAATTAGAATTATATATACACACATATATGTATATATGTATATGTATGTACACAGTCTGGGTTACTGGGAGATATTTTCTCATGTATTCATATGCTCAATCCACTTCCAAGTCTTTTCCTCATTTACTCATTCAATAAATATTATTTGAGCAACTACAATATGCCAGGTACTGGATAATAGGGGAAGAATCAAAGATTACGGAGACATAGTGTGACACAAGAAAAAATAGAAAATCTGAACAATCTCATGTATCTTAAAATATTAAAACTATAGTTTAAAAAACATAAAACTGCCTGCAAAGTAAATCCCAGGTCCAGATGCTACACCAATGAATTCTATCAAATATTTAAGTAATTAATTGTTTCAATTTTACACAAATTCTTCCAGTGAATAGCAAAATGAAAACTTTTCCCCATTTTATTTTATGAGAACAACCCTGAAGCCAAACCCTGAAAAAGAGATTACAAAAAGGAAAATTACAGGTCAATCAAGAATCGAGTTGCAGAAGTCAAAAGCAAAATAGATTCAAATAAAATTAATTCATATATAAAAAGGGTAATGCATCACAATCAACTTGAGTTTATTCCAGGAAGAAAAGGTTGGTTTAACATTAAAATTTAATTAGCATAAATCATCATATTAAGAGACTAAAGAAGAAAAATTACAAAATTATTTGATAAAATTTAACATCCATTTATGACAAAAATTCTTGGTCAAGTACTAATAGAAAGATGTTTACTTAACCCGAATTAAAGCATCTACACAAAACCTACAACAAAATTTATACTTAATGGTGAAAAATATGACTTTTTACCTCTGAAATCAGGAATGAGATAGGATGCATCCTATCACTACTTATATTCAACATTGTACTGGATGTCTTGGCTAGTACATTAAGGCAAGTAAAAGAAAAAAAATACAAAGATAGAAAGCAATATTATTCATTGATAGTGACTTTTTATTGTTGAATGAACAAAAAAACTACAGATTGTTTCAAGTGAATTTAACAAAGTAACAATATAAGGTCAGTATGTAAATATAAATTGTATTTCATTATACTATCAAAAAACCATTTGAAAATAAAATTTTAAAAAACTATACCATTTATAGTACCATCAAAAATTGTATACTTAGCAATAAATCTAACAAAATATGTGCTAAAACCTCTACATAGAAAACAATAAAACATTTACAAGAGAAATTATAAAAGATCTAATAAATGGAGAGAGAGACACATCATGTTCATAGACTCAATATTTTAAAGATGTGCATTCTTTCTAAATTAATCTAGAGGTTTGATGCAATCAAAAATCCTTGAATTTGTGTGTGTGTGTGTGTGTGTGTGTGTGTGTGTAGGTGAATATGGAAAATAGGAAGCTTATTTTAAATATTATTTTGCTTCTGGAAATGAAAAAGGCTGGAAATGGCCCAGATAAACTTGAAGAACAAAATTGGAGAACTTACACATCCAGATATTAAGAATTTTGTAAATCCACAATAAAGACAGTGTTAGCAGACATCAAGATTTTTAATGAAGCTGAAATAATTAAGACAGTCTGTAAATATACAGGGATAGAAAAACATATAAAGAAAGGGAGGGTTCAGAAGCAGACCCACATATATATTGACACATGTCAGAGCCATGGGGACATGGTAGTCTTTCATTAAATGTTGCTGGGCCTTTTGATATCCTTTTGGGAAAAGGTGAATATTGACCCCTATCTCACTCCATATATAAAAATCAATTGCAGGTGGATTGCAGACCAAATTTTGAAATAATGGAGAAGATAATGTACAAGAACTCTACAATACTGACGTAGAGAAAGATATCTTAAGCAGGACACACACACACACACACACACACACACACACACACACACGCAAAACCATTAATGATAAAGGAAAAGATGGATGAATGGAATAAAATTAGCAATTTCTGGTCATCAAAATACACCATAACTATGTCAAAACACAAGCCACAGAATGGGAGAAGATACAAAACATAAAATTTAAGAGTGTTTGCATATATAAAAGGCTGCTACTTAATTATAAGACAGAAACTCAAAAGAGTATTAGCAAGAATGTTAAACAGGCATCCACGAATGAGGATAAGCAAATTACTGAATGAAAACAAACATGCAAAAGTGCCCAGATTCCCTAGTCATCAGAGAAACAAAAACTGAAATCACAATGAAATGCCACTTAACACTATCCAGAATGACAAATATTAAAAGGGTGATAAAATGTTGCAGAAGAGATAGAGCAACCAAAACTCTCATACACTGCTGGCAAGAAGATAAATTGGTATAATCACTTTGGAAAACTCTTTGGCAATATGCAAAGATATATGAGAGTGTGTGTGGGTGTGTGTAGGTATGCATACATTTTAAGACCAAGAAATAACTTGCCCAAGTTTATACCCGATAGAAATACATGCATATATGCACCTAAAGATGTGTACAAGGATGTCATAGCAGTATTATTTTTAATTTCAAGTCATTGAACAACAATGTATAAATAGTTTGTGGTATATTCACACAATAGAATACTATACAGAAATGAAAAAATATGACTTACTGATTCATGTAATATTATAGAAGAGTTTGTAGGCATAATTTTGAGTAAAAAAAGACAAACACAAAAGAGTATATACCACATGATTATGTTCATGTAAAGGGCAAAACCAAGTGGGACTAGTGCTTACCTACAGAGAGAAGAGACTGAGAGGGAACACGAGGGTGTCTTCCAGAATGCAGATAATGTTCTATTGCAATCGCTCTGTGAAAAGACATTGTCACATTTAATATCTGTGCACTTTTCTGAATGCATATTTTAATAAAACATAAAAATATGGTTCCTGCAATTAAGGTCCCTGCTAAATTTGAGGACTACAGATTTGTAAATAATACATGATCTTTCCCTTGGCCATTTATCCATCTTCATTCTAGTAATATTATCCTATGGGCAGATGATGCCAAAATCTATAGCTGCAGATTCTGCAAAAGCTGTAGCCCTGACATTGCTACTCTCCCGTCAACCAGACTTGATGCAACATGGTCACATGAGCGCTTCTTCACCCCATCCCACAATCCTATTCTTTCTGCCTCTAAAATCGCCTGAGTACCATTCTGTCCTCCGTACCTTGACAATTCTCATTCTCCTTGACACCCTCATGCCTTCTCCTGGACGGTTGCAGCAGCCACCTAATTGGCCTTCACAAAGGCATTTTATACCTATTGTACATATATAACCCCTTCAAGATAATAAATATGATGATGCCATTCCTTTGCTCAAAAATGTTAATATTTCTCAATTCCCTACTAAATGAAATCAAGGCCCCTGAACCAGGCCCTCATTACTGGTTCCAAACCACCTCACTTATCACGTCCCTGGCTGCTCTGCTTCTTGTACTCTGCACTCTAACTAGATTTATTTTCTCAACATTTGCTGTGTATGGTTTTACTAACTGTATTTTTTTCCTTTGCTCATAATGTTCCTTCTGCCAAGAATTTCTTTCCTGCTGTCTTCAGAGATCTAAGTCAATGTGTCCTACAATGTCCAATTCAAGTGCGACCTGTTCCATGATTTCTTTTTACTCATTGTTTCCTGATGCAACTCTTCTCTCCTTTCAAAGACTATCACTTTATTTTCAGAATTCTTGTGTGCATCTATCAATTTTCACCTTACATCAAGGGCCTAATATGCATAAAAATCCTAATTGTGTAATCAGAAAGCATGAGTTTGAATCCCACCTGTCCACTTACTAGCTGTGTGTTTTGGGGCAAGTTCTTAACTCAAGCCTCAATGTCCTCTTTTGTCAAGATATGGGAGATGCAGAGGCCTTTCCAGGACTCGTCACAATATAAACCTTCTAAAAGAAAAGGCTTCCAGTCTCGAGGGAGCCATGGGAGCCGAGTAAAAGACTGCTTGCCTGGTGACCTCTAAGGCTACTCCAAGTTTCATAAACCTCTCCAGGTTTTAAAGATAGTTGTGTGTATTTTCCTATCTTCTGCAGGGCTGCAACCTCCTAGAAGACAGAATTCAAATGATTTACTCATGTTTATTCCCTTAGCACAAGTACAGTGCTTTACTCACTATACTTGCTCAAAAAATATTTGTTCTTTAAGTAAATCATACAAAAGAACCACGTATTGACAGGGTAGTATCTTACATAGAGAGTTAGGTAAGTAAGGAATTTGATTGAGAATGGCCAAAGATGCTGTAATCAATGATAAAATCAGAATCTAAACCCAAGTGTCACATCTCAGAGGCTAAAACTGTAATAACTTGACGGTTCATCCAATCATAGATAATATAGTGAAAGAAACTCTAGTGATCATCTAGTTCAAGCATGCCATCTTATCAGTGAGTTCCTCTAAGTGCTGAAATGATTTTCCCACTTAATATAGCAGGAAAGCTACAGCTAGAAGCAAGGTTTCCTCTCTTCTCTGGAGATCTCTTCAGCGTGTCATATTGCTTACCTCAGGAAGCTCTGTTGCTAGGCAACCAGGAGGTCTTTCAACTACTTAAGTTTTAAGTGCATTTTATAAAATTTCTCTGCTTGAAAAACTTGAATGATGGTGGGATATACTAGCAAGAAAAAACAAGCCTGGATTGGCTAGTTTATGAGCTTAGGGCAGTTAACCCAATCCACCTCTCCAACTGGAAGATGCGACTGTTCTGCCTGATGGGAACAATGAGCAGGATAACGGCTTTACAGCATCAAGTACTCAAGAGTCCACACATGCCCTGCGAATGCTGGTTGAAACACTCACATTGCTTCCAAGGGCAGTGAATATTAATCTCAGTGTGTCCTTTAAAATATGGATTTTACATAAAATTATGTGTTTTGATTGTTCACTTGAACAGGATTTTCACTTGGGAAATTCTGCATTTTGATAGCAACTGAAAGCAATATAGAGGCCTTTCTCTCTCTCACCTGATTTATCACCTTGCCCTGGAAAATTGCCCTGGGGTCCTTCTGGCCCACTGCTAAACTCTGGTTCTCTTAGTTTCTTTGGCTGCTCGACCAAGCTAGCAAGTGGGAATTCAAGCTGACTTCTATAACTGGTTTCATCATTGCTACTTGTATTTCTCTGCAATGCACCACAAAAGTCTTTTTCAAGCAGAGCTAGTCCTAATCTTGGTAGTGTTTTCAATTTCTGTATTTCTTAATGTGTAATATATTTCAATTTTAGAACGTGGACCACATATTAAAGAGAGTGCAGTCTGTTGTTCTTTAAAGGCTTAAATATGATGAGCCTGCTCTCCTGATGACTCTTTTGCCCCATAAGCTAACTCGGGACACAGCTTACTTCACCAAAAACTGATAATTGTGGGGATTTTTAAAGATCTTAATCCAACTCTGCCAATGATAATTCACCTAAGTAAGGTGCTACAAGAGCTATGAGTACCTCTATAGTTAAAAATATTTGAAAGTTACCCAGTTCCATACACATTTTATTAAGAGTAAATCATTAAATTATATGTAATAAAACATGTTAGAATTACAACTTATAATGATTAACTTTTATGTAGCATTTTTCATAATATGAGATATTTCATTTTGATGTTCATGATGACCCTGTGCAGAACATCCCTTCATGGTAAGCATTCGCTCCCATTTATACAGTTTATACAGACTGAGACTCGAGGAGGGAACGTGACTTGCCCAAAGCATTCCATGGAGAAGCTGGAGCCTTAAGCTGAGACTTGTAACTTCAAATCCACTACTCTATTACCAAAGATTCCTTTTGTCAAATTCAGTAAATCATATTTATTGAGCTATTTATCCCATCCTCTGCTTGGCAGAAAGAAATGATCATTCTAATTATCTAATTCTAATACTAAAAATAGCTAATACTTTGGGAAGCAATGTTCTATCACATAGGCACTATGATTATCTCCTTTTTACTGATGAGGAAACTCAGGAGAAGACAAGTTAAGCAATCTGCCAAATATCACACACTTAAGAGGAGAAAGTGAGGATTCAAACCTAGACCAGTTGGTGACTCTTAAACACCCCTGTGTTTGATGTAACAAGTATAAGGCAGTGAGCTAGAAATAAGGTATGGTGGTGACTACGCAAGCTCACGGGTTCATCTGGAGCCCCGTCCTGCGCCCCCAAGCTCGTTACCACAGAATTAACTCAGTGCAAACTTCAAGCAAATAACTGCTGGGTTTATGAAGGAAGAAACATCATGTATGTCAAGACTATGCAGCTGAAAAGTATTAGAGTCAAGCCCTGGAAGTCTGAGAACACAGCTGAAGATGGTGGGAGAGCAGGGAGACGGCTCCTCGGCCAAGCTGTTGACTGGGACACTTGCCTTCAATCCTGCTCTAAATTATTCCTATACCTTTTCTTCCCCAGTGACATGGTTTCAATAAAACATGATAGGTAGGACAATCGAATGTCCCAGTTTGCCCAAGTCTTTTCTGTTTTATGTCTGTCGTTCCAGAGTAATTGTTAACAGTACCCCTGTTCACTCTCAAAAGGAACTTGTAGTTTCTGAACTACCAGTCTTTGATTTAGTGGAAAATCTACATTTTGTTATAAAATTGATTTGAGTGTCATTTCTAGTTACTAGCTGTTTTAGCCTGATTAAACTATGGGCATCATTTCAGTCTTTATATGTTTCATTTGCAAAATAAGGATACCAATGTAAACCTTGCACATTTATTATGAGGAGTAAGTGATGTAAAAGCACTAGCTCTCGGTAAAAGTTTATTCCCATTCTTCACTTCTAGTATCACTTATTGAACACTGAACTGCACGCTGACAGTGATGTTACTTTACCTGATCTATATATGCTCTTTCTCTTGCAAACTAGAGAAGTCCCTCAGCAGTCATGATCAGATGTTAAATCATTGTATGCCCCATGCACTCAGTATGCTTCCTTGTACTTACTCTTAGTGTAATAAATGTTTGTTGATAGTAGATTTGTCTATTAATTGATCTTATTGAAATATTTAAGCATCAATAATATACAATAGCGTCATGGAATAAGAGTTAATGCTGGCAAGTCATCCAGCCAACCCCTTCATTTAATAGAAAACTGACACTCAAAGAAGAACAAATTTTACTCTCTCGGGCATAAGTCAGTCAATTTTGATGGTAATAACACTTCTTTCATCTTACTAATGTATCCCCTAGCAAGCAACT